ACGCGAGTTCAAGTTCCGACTGATTTTGTTCACTTAATACATGTTTGTCTGTTTTTCTATCCCGTTGCCAAATATTTCGACGTTGTCATATCACAGCGCGGTTGGGAGGGGAAAGACATCCTTTAAATCAGATATTATCCCTTCCGCTAACCAATTCCTGATTGTCTTATACACATGCAAAAACAGATTAACACTCCTAGTGTCAATAGAATAAACACAAAAGTAAATGTCTTCAACTCTACATCACTGAATAAAATGTTTTGTGGTGAAGTATTGTTATTATCGCAACAATCATTTGAACTATTAACTTCATCTTTATTGAATCGATTACTTCGGATGAAAGATCACTTAAATCAAAATCAGGTATATAATTTAAATCAGTTCAAAGAGAGATAAACAGATATGAACTGCACTTAGACACCTTATACAATACATTTATAAACACGTGTACCGTTTGACATGAAGCACCTACTGCCTGTCTTTGTTGAAGAAAGAAGATGAGTTCTACCAGTAGCTTCAAATTTATTCTGAGATATTTCATGAAACGATAAGTGGATCTTTTCTGTTAATTCACACCAAAATAAAAATAAAAAAAACTTATATTTACTAAAATTCACACCAGATTCTCCCAGAGCGAGGTACTTTCATTGCACTCCGCTTGGATTGAGCTTTGCAATCGACTCGGGTACACTATTTCTAAGTGTTGGGTATACGTCGCGCTCACCTCGATAAACAAAACAAAAAACAAACTTTTTATTTTTTTAAACTGAAAAAAGTTCCTTGTAAGTACCCCGAATATCATCCAAACTTACGGAATATGAATAACTCCCTGCGTTTTGGTAATTTTTTTTTATTCTGAGGGTTGGAGCTTTTGCTAGGCAAGATAAACAAATTTTGATTTAAAATTTATAATTTCAAAAGAGTGTCAAAAATTTAATAAAAACAAACTTTGATTTAAAATTTATAATTTCTTGGGGTGAATTAATATTTACAATAATTATCTTTACATGATTAGTTTTTATAATTATGCAAAGCGATGATGGCCTTAAAATAAAGACAATAAAAATAGTGAATAAATTAATTTTTCCAATTTGTTAAAGTATGCTTATACGAAAATGTGAAACATTTACCCCATGAAAAAGAGTAATTTACAAATGTTCAAGAATTTAAACAACAAACTTGGTGGTCTTTCGTCGACAAAACTACGTCCGGAGCAATCACGATGAATTGCTTGTGTTTAGTAACACTTCGTAATTGTTAAAATCTAATGTTTTTCTTTTCATTATTATTCTTTCTTTGTTCTGGACAACTGCTGAGAGATGTTTTTAACCATTTTGATTCCATCAAGCGGTGTGCGTTTCACACGCAAAACAACAGCTGATTGGATGACCCAATTCTGTCTGTCTACCTCCGTATCTACTTGTCTGTTCTGCCCCCGCACCAAAATATCGGAACTAACATAAAGGGTTACATGATATGCTGTTTGATATGAAGGGGCCATAGGCACTAGTTAGGGCCTTGAATCAATCTAATTTCAGGGTTCACCGCTGGGTCAGTTGTGCTGGCCTTGTCAGACCATTTCTAGAACTAAATTATTTAGTCCCACCCTATATCATAAAGAAAGAGGTAAATGGCAACATTACAAACTGAAATAAAAAAAAAGATGAAAAATCTCTCTCGGAACTTTTATTTCAGCTTTAATTCCAAGCTAATCGATTAAATTTAATGTTTCCAATAAGCAAAATATTTCAAGCCGAATTTAAATTGATAGATTTTTTTTCTGATTATCGGTAAAATCTATGCAATCGTCCATATTGAAAAATCCTTCAACACAACATATTTCTTTCAAAAATAAAATATGCTTTTATGAAACGTTATTTGAGTAAAATTAGCTGTTTTAAGGTTTAAGTAAACTTAATTGAAAAAAATATTACTTACTTATAATACGGATGCGATTGTTCTATGAGGTATTGACACATTTATCAACAGCCTGATGCTGGCCTAATTTATGTAATTGGGAGATAATTGTAATAAAATTGCATGACGAATACAACGTAAACTCCTTTTGATATAATTCTTTTATCTACCCAGTAATACTAGAAAATTTAAAATATTTTAAACATTCGAATATTTTATTGAATTTTAAGTAGTTTGGTCTTTCTTATGGGGACGCTTATTGAGAAAATATTAGAAAATTACCAATAAATTTTAAATTTATTATAGTTGCTGCTTTTATTTTCTGATAATGTATATGGACGTTTGTATTAAAAAAAATAAACAAAAAAAACAGAACACATACAAAAAAATCTTTTTTTTTTTTCTAAATACAACATCCCACTGAATTGTAGTAAACTTAGGATTTTAAATATTTTTATTTAATAATAATATCACTTGACCGCTAAAAATTAATACAGAATTTAAAAAGATTAAAATTAATCAGAATAATCTATGAACTAAATTAAAAATTAATTAGAATAATCTATGAACTTAAAAGTTCATAGATTATTCTAATTAATTTTTTTCTGAAAAATGTAAACAATTCTTGCAAAAATTCATCGAAAAAAATAGTTTTGTAAGACAATAATATTCATGTTATATTTTATTCCTAAAATCAATTAAAAGCATTTCTAATTAAATAATGTCTTAGTTTTATTACATTTTTTTTATTTTACAATTCAGGGCAGATTTTCTTTTTGAACAAAAAAAAATCTTGATTTAAATTCTCGGAGGACTTGACCTTATAGAAATATAAATAAAAAAGAATTCCTCGAAATTTCATAAAATTAAATAAGTGGTGGAGGGTAACCGATGTAAAAACATATTTTACCAAGATTTTCTAAAAAAAAAAAAGAAACATTTCTATCATAATTTCATCCATTCAAACGTGCACGGTGTCCAAGACAGAGTGTGTATAAATATGTGACCTATCGACTCGCTAGAGTTGTGGTTGGCGATGTCCTTATCTTTACGGCGTCTACAGCTTAGAGTGTTTCTTTCTATTGGTAACCCATGATACACCGGCGCCAGAGGCTTCAAACACTTATTCCTGTTCTTAAATAAAGGATCTGACCACATTCCAGAAGGTGTGGCTGTTAGCTCCGTGTTGCTGTGGTTTTCAACCAGCTTTACGATTACGGCATACATTTTCATTTCCATGTTAATAAAGCAAAAATTTGGTGCATGCTACGTAACATTATATTTGCCTGCCTTCCATTCATATTTCACGAAAAGTTTGCTCTAAAAATACATCATGGTGAACTGTATAGACAATAACATAGGCAGCAAAAATTCATTATTCATTCATTATTTATTAAATTTGATTGTCAAACTTTGTCTATTCAAATGTTAGTGATTTTTTCTAGTCGACGTATGAGTTGCCATAACAAATTTGTGAAAAACTTGTCAAAATTATTAATTTTACATCCTGGCATTTTTGACAAAATTTATCATTTTAATTTTAAATTAAATTCTCAAACACAATTGATGTGTAAACGGGTCTGTAACTGTATTTAGAAAAAAAAATTAATTCTCAATTTGGAGTCAGATAACGTTACAGCAACTCAGGGAGAATATATTTTATTATTATTATTAGTAGTAGTAGTAGTAGTAGTAGTAGTAGTAGTAGCATCTGAGATCCTCTCCAACTCTTATATGTTTTGGCTCCAATCCGCAGCTTAATGCTATTCCAACCAGCAAAAACCTTCCTGGCCACATAGCTGTTCCAATCATCATCATCATCATTACTATAAGTTCAATCATATATTAAAATATCTTTTGTAATGGCGAAAAACATTATGTTTAATGCGTGCTTGTTTCTCTTTTATAACAATAGTATTTTGAATATTTCTTTTACAATATAATACATAATATTTTAGTATTTTCTATTAGTAGTCGCCTAATTTTAATAATTATGCGTGACGTGTTAGTCAATGTCAGTACGATAGCATTTAGTTTTAACATATGACATGATAATCTACGAGAAAATGTGGTGTTCTCGTGACCAATATAAGAATATAATGTTGTTCTTTTTATTATTAAAGTTGGAGATGAAATAACCTAAACAGTATAAGTATTCGTAAACAACATTATTTTTGCCTAAACGACATGCACGTACACACACATACACACTAGTAGCCCCATACACATGCATAATATATACAATATATACACATATGTGTGTGTATGTGTGCGTGTGTGTGCGTGTGTGTGCGTGTGTGTGTATTTTTATCCTAGTTTTCGCCTGCAATCAAAAGATGATGGTAATGCAGAAATACTTTTGTAATTACACTGTACTTATAATGCTGCCTCGCATGTTGTTGTCCATGTGTCACACCATTCTGAATATTAAAAGAAACTAAAATTAAGTGAAATTACATTTGATATACAATTTTGTGTTCATTCTATAAATGAAGGTAAATTATAAGAAATGAAAGTTATATTGAAATGTTAGTATTTTCAATGCGTAAGCGATTATGGCTACCCACAGATTCCTTTTCTTTATTATCATGTCTTGAGTTTTAGAGAATAATAAATTCAATATTTGTACAAAAAATACTACAAAAAAGGAATCTATAAACCTTGAGTGAATATTAAAAAATTAGCACACAATCTTCAGACAGCCGGCATTGGTTACCGGCTTCAAATACTCTTCAGAGAAAATTCAAAATATAAAATTCTGGCTTTTCGAAGCATCGCCCATACTTGGGTGAGAATTTAATTACTGTTATTTGGTAAATACAGACATAAAACCGACAAAAAATAGCTTTAAACACAAAAACCATAACGCCTCTTCTAGCCCATCAAAGTGTTGTACTGCCCAGATAAATTCAAACAGGAGCTTATATATAAACATTATTCCAACATCGCTAGTGTTCGACGTTCGATCTCACTTATTTCTAACACTGCATCTAAAATTAAAAAAATAGCATACATTTGACAAGTCTAAACTAGGCTTAGGAAATGTATTTTTTATTTTATATAGTTTCCTGGAGGTTACTAACAATTTTATTTTGAATGATAGATAGATAGATAGATAGATAGATAGATAGATAGATAGATAGATAATGCTCGTAGCGTTTGTGTAGGTAGCATAATAAATGTGACATGGACAAAGAGCTAATGGCCCATTAATATTACCTTCTAAAAGCGAATTTTTTTCAGACTTGATTGCTTTAATTCAAAGTAAGGTCTGTCTGTTCTGGTTTTAAACGCAATGTGGAGAAAGAAAGAAAGAAAGAAAGAAAGAAAGAAAGAAAGAAAGGAATAAATAAATAAATAAATAAAAACAAAGACAAAAGAAACGTGCAGAAAGGCCAGTGTGGAAAGTGAAAGAAAAAAAATATCGCATTTATAAAGGGAAATAACTAGCAGGTCGGAAGCGGTTTTGGAAAAAACTCATTGACAATTTATTCATTCAGTTTATCTCTAAAACTGCGATGATTCTATTAGCATAACAAATGGATATGGTGTTTTTCACTCAATATTCATAGGTGACTGCATTTAACAATTATAATTCCCTATAAATAGAGGTTAATGTTTTCATATTATATATGCGTGTTTTCTCATACGAGATGTGCTGAAAGGTTCTCGGCTTCATCAGGAAGGGATTCGAAAAAAAATTTAAGTGCTGATGCTTGGTCATTGAGTCAAATTTGGGAACTTATAATACTCATATATGTGCGTTTTTAGATGTGTGCGTGTGGGGGGTGAGTTATGTGTATATATGTGTGTAACAAATATTTTTAAGAATCTTTAACATTTCCTCATAAACTATTATTGGTGTTTCCTGTATTTTTCGGCCACCTCCCCACCTTATTTTTAATTCTAAGACTGATTCCATCAATAAAATCATTAGTTAGAAGTTTCTTATTGGAAGGAAACGCGTCAGAAAATAGAATATATAGATCCATACACACACACACACACACACACACACACACACAGAGGCATACAGACACAGGCATACAGACACAGAAACAGGTGTAAATTCTTTTGCAAGTTTTGTAGTCATACATTTTCCTTACCTTCGTGGAGGAACTTCGCTATTTAATGTTGAATGTTACTGTTCCAAATGTGCAAGATAGATAGATAGATAGATAGATAGATAGATAGATAGATAGATAGATAGAAACAGGCTGAGATAGCTAGTTAGATTCCCATAACCTGCTTAGTTTTATCGTAACCAAAACGTTTTAGTTTGTGAATTAGTTATCGATTACTTGCAAGTACGATACGATTTCCTAGTTAATTCCATTATATATATATATATGTGTGTGTGTATGTGTGTATATGAAGGAAAGTTGTATGACGAAGTGGAAAAGATTTTCGTGTGTGACGCGTTTCGTCCCTTAGAAATTTAGTCAGACGAAGTCCTGAACTTTTTCCACCTTACCAAAAAACTTTTGCCAATTTACCATACATTTTTCTTCCTCGAAAACTGTTCTTGATATATACAAAATTATACCCCATATCTATCTCTATCTATCTCTATCTATCTCTCTCTCTCTCTCTCTCTATATATATATATATATATATATATATATATATATATATATATATATATATATATATATATACTTACCTCATTTACCAGCATTAAAACATCAATTTTTATTATAAGTTTTGGTTCTTTAATAAAGAGATTTAATGGTACAATGCCGCTTACGCATCTGGGTTAAAACTAAAAACATACATACGCCCGTCCGCTCGGATACACACACACATATATATATATATATATATATATATATATATATATATATATATATATATATATATATATGCAAAATATTCCATTATCTCTAATAATTATTATTATATAGTGACACAAATCATGATTGTTTAGCAAAAAAGAAATTGTGCTTGTACTACGCATGAATTTATTTCTATGTCAGCGGGATTCCTGCTTTTTTTCTATTTCCGTACACTAACTTTATCATTACTCCGCCATATTTCTGCTGCCTTCATCATTTTCTGAACTTACAAACTAAATATTTATGATAGCAGAGAAAAATTGATTATTAATCACATGATATTTTTAGAAAAAAATAAAGTTTTGTCATTGACCATCAATTAAAGCAATATTATATGCATTGTATAAATGCGTTTCAAATGATATTAATATAGAAATGAATTCTGACTGATATTGCTATCAAAATTCATTAAACATTATTTTACGATAAAATTTCCCTGATAATCTAGCAAAAAATATATTGATATCTTGTCTTATATTTTTCTCATCTTCGTAGCAAACCAAAATTATTTGTAAACCAGATATTAGGATAATGCTCTGTAATTGATCAAGAAAACCGTCCTCTTCTCCCGCCAAAGAATAAAGATATTTGGTCAGATTTGTAGAAATGATTTGGGCAATCTCTCGAATGTACAAGTACTCTTTTTCCATATATATATATATAGAGAGAGAGAGAGATAGATAGATAGATAGATAGATAGATAGATAGATATGCGTATGTGTTTGTCCGTACGTATGCGTGTGTGTGTGTATACGTGTTGCCTAATTCAAACAATGGACAATTTTGTAGGAATAAAACATTTATGACTTCAGAGTTATGATACATGGTCCTGGTCCGATGTAAAACACAATCCAATTGTTGATACTTTTTCTCTCTTTTACAAAATATAGAACGTTTTAAAATGTTTGAATCAACCAGGCCAACCTCTGTAACCTGTGCTATGTGAGACAGCCACATTTGATGAGTGCCAGTTAGTCATGCGATGGAATTGGTGACAGCTCATTTACACGACATCGGACGTAATTACATTCATTATTGCGTATTGAAATTCATAGTCAGATTCGATAAGTGTTGTGTTTCAACATGAAGTGACGCGTCTATTACGGAACATTAAACGCTGTTTGATACACAGCAGGTGGGCATCCTGAAGTGGGAAGGCTAGTTGTGGGTTCGGGTCTAGATGGGTCTGAGGTATTTTTATATTTATTACTTGTGGGTTTAGATAAAACAATTTCGGCGTTTTTCTGTCTAGCTTTCTCTCTACCTCTTAGGGTTGGAGTAAATGTTGTACTTGGGATATATATATATATATATATATATATATATATATATATATATATATATATGTGTGTGTGTGTGTGTGTGTGTGTGTGTGTGTGTGTGTGTGTGTGTGTGTGTGTGTTTCGTTAAAGACTACTGCAATTAAGGTATTTATTTATTTTTTTTGTGTTCATACAAGTGTTTTCTTTTCGGAAAACTACGTGTGTAAAAACTATCCCAAAAGTCTGCATTTCCGAGCGCTTTCGGCTATTCTTTTAGGGCGATTTTTATATTTGATTTTTAACTAAATGTGTGGGTTTTATGTATGTATCTGAAGTTATGCCAATGTCTTATTTTCCAAACACGGTCAGCACGTTGTGGCCGTGTCCGCAGTTAATGTTACTTAGTGTTGGCTTTCCCTTTTTTATTATTAGGGCTTCCATTATTTTATTATTCCATTATTTTTATTATTACAATCATTTTTTACTGTGGATATGGTTATTATACTTGTATTTTCTACTAGTATGTTTCGGATGGAATTTGGTAGGTTTTCCTGTGTATTTAAATGAGTCCTAATAATATAATTATTTATGAGTTTGGTATGATCCGGAACACAGTTCATTAAGTGACATTGAACTCGTTAATAATGTTGGTTCTGTGTAGTTTTGATTTTGCGGGTGTTATTATTTTTCATGATATGGCTAGCTGTTTAAACTTTTTGCAATAGATAACTTAATTTTCTAGTTCGGGTCGACTGGGGTTGTGTATTTGTTTATGATATTTCTAAGGAAGAATTCGTCTTGCTTATAGTTAAGGTGTATTTGGCTTTTGTAGACGTTAACGCTCTTGTTTTTAACCGTATGTTCAGTATCACTATTAGTTATTTTAGAAAGAAATAGTCTAATCTGGTGGTCGATGAGGTAGTTAAGAAACCATTGTTAACTAACGTTGGAGTTTATTTTTTTGGCTTAGTTCAGGGGTAAAGTTAAGAACGTAGTTTCTTTTGCTTTTTTTTTTCGAATGTGGTTTTGAGATTATCAATTTTTTGTTTGTTTTTTCACTAAAATAAAAATATCGTGTACATAGTGGACATATGTTTTGGATTTAAATATCGTGTTTTCTACGTGGGACATGTAGTAGTTGAAGAAGAACGAACCGAGAGATTTTCCTAAACTAACGTCATTAGTTTGGGTGTAGCTATTGACATTATGGTCATAGAAAGAGACATTAGTTGTGCAAGAACGCAATCATTTTTTGAGGATATTTGGTTTGATGAATGGAGGTGAAATGGAATTATTTTTATACACAGAGTTATGGATTATGTCGATGGTTTGATCGACGGGGGCGTTTGTAAATAAATTTTCAAAGTGGAATGACGCTAAAATACCTTGGTTTGGTTGTATAATTTTTAGAATTTGAAGGAATTCATGAGTTGATGCGATGCTATAATTGGTAATTCCTTCAAACCTTATAAGAAACGATGAAAGTCACCGAATATTGACAAAAAAAAACGATTTTTCAATGGTCTAGCTGTCACGAGTTATCCATGGAAAAAGTAAATGTTCTTTGAAAATGAATACGACCACATGATTAAATTATTGGTTGAGGTAGAGAATTACACAACAAAAAGAAAATGAAATTAAAATGAAATAAAGAAAGAAAGAAATCCTTATAAAAAGGAAGATAAAACAACACAAAAACACCTACAGAATAAAAAGAAAAGGAAAGAAAAAGAAGGAAAGGAGGAAGAAAGTATATCTCCCTACTCACATACAGACAAAAGAAGAAAAAAGAAACAGAGAAAAGAATCATAAGACTTAAGAAAACTAAAGAAAAGCAAAACGTCGATGAAAAGATGAAAAGCTCAAAGGATAGCAAAGTTGCAATTGATATCTTTTTGACCAGAGCGGGAACTGGTCACGCTAATCAAAATTCTTTGCACTCGACTTCATTTTCAAATAATGTTTTGTAATACGGACCATGTCTCAAGTCTTTGTCAAGTCCTTCAACAGTGAAGGACACACACAAAGGGAAAGATTCCTGATAGACATGGTAAGTAATTTACATGAAAACCGGCTACAATTAGCATTTCGTTGTTGTGATGTCGGTGCTGGGTGGTAGATTGTCTCTATAGCTATTTATTGAGTTTACTTTAGTCTGCATCAAATCTACAGAAATAGGACACACAGTGAGAGTAGTTATAGATTTTGAGTTTAGCTTCTTTAAGTATTGCGCTATAGCCTGGTACTTAAAATAGTTATTTATCCAAATTAATTTCGCCTGATACAAAAACACAATAATTGGACGCCTGTCAGAATCACACAATGTTAATGATACGCGTTCTTACTTAATAATCTATATCATAACGAGATTCCAATGAACGGCACATTGTGGAAAGATTTTTGTAAGAGCAATGCATTAAAATGATTTAACTTAAAGAATAAATCAATGATAGGTTCAATTTGGAATTTAATAATCGTACAGGTTCTCCGTTCGTTCGATAATAATGATCTTATTTTTGTATATCTGGTTTGTTACAAATTCTGAAAAGATAATCACGTCAACATTAAAGGAGGAAAAGAAATGAAACGACTATGAATTTCTGCATAAAAAAATGATACCCATGAAATAATGATGTCTTTATTTTGTAAAATAAAAATAGTTTTTCAACACATTTAGATATAGTAATAATTTTGATAAAATAAATTCAGCATTATTCGTCAACGACACATACAGGGTCATATATGCAGGTGAAGAGAAAAATGAAAGAGAATTAGGATCGAAGAAGTTGTGTTTTTGGATCGTGTAAGTTGTCTGACAAATTTATCGTGGGTTAAGCCATGAGTGAAGCTTTTTGATATATGAAGCTTTTTAATATCACGCACCACCAACACAAAACACAGAGGAAGAGATTGATAAATTTTAAAGTGTACTGAATAAAGCCAAGACTCAATGCATATCACAGAAAATACCATCATCTTGGGAGACCTCAAGACACAAAGACCGAGTCGGTAAACTTGTTGGCAAATTCGGGCTTGGAGCCATTAATGAGTCAGACAAAATCTGTGTCCATTTGTGCACAGCAAAATGACCAACAAACGGTTTCAAGAACGCCCATGATGTTTATGGACATGGTGAAACCCAAGCGGAGAGACGAAAAATAAGATCGATTACAAAATGTTGCTGTTTTACATTGTAAAACCCGTCTAAGTGCACACCGTGGGAGCCAGCAGCTTCCAGTCAACCCCAGAATATCACGGAAATTAAAGACCAAAGCAACGTTTAAACCACAATACAACATAGACTTCTGTTTGATCAACATTGCAAAGAGATGTATGTTGACAAAAAGCGACTATAATAATATGAATGAGACTGTAAATTAGAAGTGAAACACATTTTGATAGAAACACTAGGGACATCGGCGAACGAGATCTTCCCAACGGAAACGAGGCAAAAGAAAAAAAAGAATGGATTACAGATTAAAAGAAAATAAACAACAAACAATGCCAAAGAATGATACAGATTAGAGAACATGAAAAAAAAAAATTGAAACAAATGCAAGCAGGCGAAAGAGAAATGACTGAGTGAAAAGTGTGAAGAAATTGATATTTCCCAGATAAGGCAAATATGCACAAAAGAATGAAAGAATGACTGTACAAAGGAATCAGAAAATATTGGAAAAATCTGAAACATTAAAGTCTGAAGTTAGATCAGTAGTGGAAAAAATAAACAGGAATAAATCAGCAGGACCAAATAGGATTGTAATAGAAATGTTCTCAGCCTTATATCAATGAAATTACGGCAATGATAAAATAAATATACGACAGTGGCGTCATACCAGAAGACTTCAGTAGATCTATCTCCGTAGCACTGCCTAAAAAACAGGTACAAATAAATGCGAGCTCTACCGTACAATCAGCTTAATGAACCACATAACCAAGCTAATAATCCAAATTCTGATAAGTGTAAAGCAGAATTAGATCAGAAATAGAACAAGAATGACGTTTGTTTTGACAAAGAAATGGAAATAATATATTTATAATCAGATTGATATCACAGAGAACAATACAAATGATTACGTAAAAAAAATTGATAATGTACGGTACAAAGATCTATTTAAAAAAAAATTAATGGTTTCATTCGAAGCAAGGCAATAAGGCCACTAAAACTGAAGGGGTTACTGAGTGTTAAAGAATATAAGAAAAATATACTATTAAGGAGAGAAAACAATAAAAGAACAAGAATTAAGAAGACAGAAGATAACAACTGGCATTGCATTTCATTGAAGATCAAAATTGATTGGGAAGCAAGAAATCAGAAGAGACTTCCACAAGCGAGAAGTGCGATAGAAAAAACTGTTCGCATAGAACTTACGGTTACATCCAGTCGTTTTAACTGAAAAATGATGAGACCTAACTGCCAATCTAGTACTGCGCTCAAATTCATAAAGCCTAGGTACCATAAAGGAAAGTTCATTGGAACAATTACCATGAAAGTATTTATAGAAAAGGCACAGGGAAGCTAGATTACGATGATGGGAAAGTGACTGAAACCAAAATACCAGGTCAGAACCAATAAGATTGCAGATTACTTTTTGGATTTTTTTCAAGAATCTCTAAATATATAGCAGTAGCACCAGACCCTACGTGGCAGCAATAGTCAAAGCAAGGACGAATTGTTGTTTTATAAATATGTAAGATACATTCTGGTGCGAAAAATTGTCTAGCTACAAGGAAAACTTTATATATTTATTTATTTATTTGGGAAAGATATATTAGAATAATCGAGAACTTATACTGAGAACAAACTGCTTACATGGGGATAGAAAATAAATTGAGTAAACACACAAAATATAAAGACGCGTAAGATAAAAGTGTGCCTTCTCAATAGATTTATTCCAGCTTTATAACGAGACTGTCCTAACAGCACTAGAAATCCTACCAGGATTTATTATCGGTGGGTACAATCTTAACAATATAAGATAAGAAGACTGAAAAGTTCATAGGCTGATTATGAAGGATTGATGCTAGTGCTGTAAAATCTTGCATACGTTAATTTCGGATCTCCTTATTAATAACTGCATTGTTTCCTGTCAGATAAAGTTACATCTGACTGCTTAAAGAAAACTTCAAAAGTAACTAGTAGCGACTTCTCTTGAAAATGGACAAAATTTGGCATCATGGTGTTATCAATTACCTGCACCTAAGGACATTCATGCTGACATTGTTGCTATATTAGGCGATTATGCTCCATCTTTATCAACACTACAAAAAGTGGGCAGCTGAATTTAAGAGGGGAAGGGAGAGACTTGAAGATGACCCAAGGTCTAAACGCCCTGCAACTTCCACCACTGAGGAAAACATTGATCGTGTTTACCACATAGTAATAAATGACAAGCGATTGACTATAAATCAATTAGCCAATGCATGAGAAAGTTGAGAACATTCTGCACAATGGACTTGGCATGGCGAAGGTTTTTACTTGGCGGGTGCCACGTCTTTTGACACCTAATCAAAAGCGCACCAGGCTGATCACATCACGGGAAATCTGGCATTGTTTGAAGCTGCTCTTGAAAGTTTCCTAACTCACAGTGAGTGTTGAGTTCATCACTTTGAGCCAAAGATTCAAACACCACTCCTCACCTACTCCAAAGAAGGCCAAGGTAGTTTCATCTGCATGGAAGGTAATGTACTCAGTTTTTTGGGGATGCAAAAGGCATTGACTATTATTATTATTTATTGACTATCTTCAAAAAGGCTACACCCTCAATAGAGAGTATTATGGCAAGTTGTTGAGGCACTTACGAAAGGCTATCAAGATCAAACACCCAGGAAAACTGATGAAAGGATCTTGTTTCATTTGACTGCTATGCTTTGAACTGTTTGATCACATACCCTATTCTCTTGATTGGACTATTATCTGTTCCCCAACACAAAAAAAACACTTGGCTAGGAACCAGTATCTTTAGTGATGATGATGTCATATCTGCTGTTGATGACATCTTTTACCAACAGGATGAACAGTTCTTCTTTTGAACAGACAGATATCAGTTTACTTAGAAAGAAACAATGAAGTTATAAATAAGAAGAGTTTAAATTTTTAAAATGCATGTAAGATTTCACAGCCCTAGCATCACTCTTTCATAGTCTAGGAAATATTCAGCCCCCCCCCCTCATAAAAATGATATTTATGTATACAATCTGAAAGAGAGATAGTTGAAATTTTGGGACACATTATCAGAAAAAAGGCTGGAAAATTTGACAGGAGGAAAGCAGGGAGCAGTCCAAATAGCATCACTCTTTCATAGTCTAGGAAATATTCAGCCCCCCCCCTCATAAAAATGATATTTATGTATACAATCTGAAAGAGAGATAGTTGAAATTTTGGGACACATTATCAGAAAAAAGGCTGGAAAATTTGACAGGAGGAAAGCAGGGAGCAGTCCAAATAGCTTATGTAAATGGATGAAACAGGGAATGGGAGATATAGTAAAAAGACAATTATTGCAAGGTGTTACGAAGGATAGGAAGTTGTTGAGGGCTATGATTGTCCACATCCTAACATGACACAGTACATAGAAGACGATATCACGGATAGGCAAAAGGTTTATTCTATTTAAAAAAAATCATTAATCATCTCATTTCCCTTCTCTTTCTCAATTCCATACTTTATTACAAACAACTATTTTTTTCATTTTTAAACTTCTTTGTCCGAAATCATTCTATCACTAAACTCCTGATGTCTAGGGATTAGCAGAAATATAAATAAATCTAACTTTAAATTTTAAATATTGTAGAATATTTTTAAATCGC